ATATATATATATATATATATGATGCTGTTAACTGTACAATAACAAAGGAATTTTATGATATGTTGAAAAGATCTATATATCCCTGCCAAGTTTTTCGGGGAAAAATTGGACTCTTATTTTCCATTGAAGTCCCCAATTATGAAGAGATTATTTAACAGTCATGTTACAATTTTCCCATTCACAAAAACTTTGTAATTGATTCAAGAAATGAGAATAACAGTCGCATTAACGGAGGCGTAACACGTGACAAACTTGATAGAAATCATCGTAGTTCGCGGCCTAATGTCAAAGATCAAATCTTGAGAATCCACCAGGTGTTGAAAGGAATCAGAATATGATAAAAGAGTATGAATGGAAATAGATGCACATGCTTGGACTGAAGCAATAACTTTTAACTCAAAGATACAAACAGTTAGAAATTTACAGCTGTTTACATGATGGAATCCTAAATACACTTAAGGGGAAGGAAAAATAAGCAAATTTTTAAAGCTCCAGATGCGTGACTAAGAGATTAATGAAAATAAAAGTCAAAACCAACAATAAATGGAGGCTGAAAAGGAAGGTTTAAACTGAGGATAAGGCTTCTTTTACAGCAACTATACTACGAAAGGGACTCATACAAGCTTACCACTAGTAGAAAAGGAATTTAAACTAGGTTTATTTCTTTTTCACCATGTATTTTTTTGAATCTCCTGGAGAATTTTGTAGCATTCTTGTTACATTGAAGACAAAAGACATACATTATTTTACAGCAATTATACTGGAAAAGAAATAATTTCTCTGGAAAGATTAAAATCTCAAAGGTACAATTGGCCATTCAGTGGGTGGGGGTCATATTGAGAAGAACAATTATTAAGGTCCTTATAGATGACAAAATTCATTCAAGTTTACTATTACTAGATGGAGAGAACTGTAGAAGTTGCTAACAGCTGTTAATTCAATTCATCCTAAATAAAGAACAGAATTAAATTCGTGTCAAGAAACGATACATTCGCATTAATTCACCCTAAATAAAAAAACAAAGTTACAGAAGTAAAAACAGACCACATAAGCTATAACTCATCAGCATAGGTAGAATAAATTGCTTAAATTACAGGGAATTGTAACATTAGCCAAGAAAACCTGAAATAGATTCCGATAAGTGCCAAAAGGGAGTGCAAAAATGCTAAAAAACATGAAAAAAACCCTAATTATTCAAAAATTTCCATTAAATAATTGGATAGAAACTTTTCTTTAACCATAAAGAACTGCATAATTCTTTTCAAAATGTCCCCTAATTGTCCATTAAAGAAGGCAAAAACACCGAAAAATGACTAAAATTCCATATTCATTCCAAAAAAAAAAAAACTATGGACAACTGATCTTAAGAGGCATTGCATAATTCCCCCACAATTTAACGCCAATTGTCAAAATGAGAACAAAATTACGCTGCCAAATGTCACAAGAAAAAACCTAGAAAAAACAAAAAAGTTTTGAAATTCAGATCTGAAAAGCAGTGAATAATTGTCCCCCATGTTTTAACTAAATATACAAGAACCGCCAAAACCACACCAACAGGTGTCAAAACCAAGCCAAAACCTCTAAAACCAGAGATTCAGCGCCAGATCAAGTAAAAAAACCCTAAAAATTTAAATGGAACCATCAAAAAAAAGAGGATTCCAAAGACTTCATGGAAATTTACCACGTGTGGGGTAGAGTTCTCGCCGGAAAACCAAGATATCGTCCGAATACTCAAGGGAACAACCACATTCAGCCGAAATTTCACCGAAAAATGGGGTGATTTTTCGGCCCCTGGCTTTCCTGCGAGCCTTTTTGCCGGGAAAGAGAAGAAAACGGAGAGCAACGAATTTAGTGTGCGTTGTGCTGGCGTGGCCCCATCTACTTATACACACGGATTTGAAATTTAATTATTGTGACTTGGATTTATATATTCTACGCGTCCGCGTAGCGCAAGGCTTTACCATTGGCAACGCTCCACCCACGTAAAGAGGGGGACCAAAAGCAAAAGGTCAAATCGGTCTCCTACCTTTATTTATTTATTTTGGTTTTTAGTGCTTTTATTATTCTCTTTTAAATTAGGGTAGTCCACATAAGGAAATGTGTAGGATGAGACTATTTAATTTTGATACATGATCATGACAATTATTATCATTGATGCTTAATGTGATGTTGGGTCGTTGAAGTGGTGTTACTAATTAGGGATAAAGTTTAAAATAAAAAATTTTAATTACGTTTCAATACTGGAGATTTTATATCCAATTGCTATGACTAATTATGACCTACACAAAAAGTGAATAGTTGTATATTATCCCTAAAACATAAAATCTTTTTTTTTGTTGCATTTGGAATGAAAATACTTCCTAATATTTTATATTTTACTTAGGGTCCTATGTTTCTTCAATTTTTTATTTTTTATGAAATACCACCGTATTGTATTTTGAACTATTAGACTGTATTTGTAACATTTTTTTTCTCTAGAAAACTCAATCTGGCACTTGAAGTATTTATCAAAAAAAAAAGATTTCAAGCTTTAAAAATAATATGTATTGTAATACAATTTCCAGACTGACCATTTTTAAGTGTTTATGCTTCTATAAGATCTGTACTATTTTTTTAACTACAAATTTTATAATCAATGGTTGAAATAGATTTTAGAACTATCATGGGGATTTTTCATTCCCAAAGTGTTTCCCGGCTCTACTTTTCTTTCATAAGGCTTGGGCTTTATAGAAATTGCAACTAAGCGGTCCAACAATCCATATGTCGATTTGACTTCCGGTATATTATAGAGAGCTTGGTCTTGTACTCCAAGCGTCGGACCATATTTTCCAAAAAAAAAAAAAAACAAGACAGTTAGTACTTTTTAGTACCAGACTATAAGGTTATTTTGAAAAAAAATAAAAAATTCAAAAAGAAAGACCCACTAAAAATCGTTTTTAAATTTCTAAAATAAAAAATCGTTTTTATGCTAATTAATATTTAATTATCGGTAGGTCACTTATTGCTTGGTTTTTGTTTTTTTATTAATTTCTTTGTTTTCACTGACATTGCCCTACCTATTTTTTAAAATAGATTAAGATTTATTGGAAACCACGGCGTGGTATGGTTTTCGTTTTGGTTTATAATTTGCAGATGCGTGGTTGGCGGCTGTTTACTTGGCTTTCGTTATATCTTACGTTGAAAGTTTGGCTCTTTTTTCTTTATCATGCCAAATATACATTATGTACCAAGTTGGCTATTTAATTTGGAGTTTGGTAAAGGGGTAAGCTTTAAATTTATATACTTCTCCCTATCCAGCCGTTCATTTTGAATGAACAGCTGAGATGACCCAATTACAATATCATATCTTTATATTATTTTATTTTTAATTTTTTTTACAAACTATTTTGATACTAAATTTGAAAGTCCACTTCTCTCTTAAACTTGCATTTGTAAAAAAATATAAAATAAATATTTTAAATAAAATAAGATGACTAAAATATCTCTAAAAGATTTAAAAAGTATTTTGGTCATTATATTTTAAGAAAAGTTTATATAGAGCCAAGGCTTTAAACAATCAAATTAGAGCTAACCTCAAAATTTTCACTAAAAAAAGTTGTTTTGATGCCCAAATATTCTCAAATTGATCATCTCGATATCAAGATGCATAGACATGAGAAAAAAATAGATTTTAAGTTTTGAAAATAGTGTGCTTTGTAACGCATTTTTGGACCTTCGATTTTTAAGTTTTCATAGATATGTCGATCTACACTATTTTTAAAGCTTTAAACTTTATAAATAAATATGAAAATATATTTTAAGGCCATCACAAACATTTTCAGTATTGAAACCATATTTTTCGATACTATTTAAAAGTAGGCACTAATTTGATTGATTAGAGCCTAGGCTCTCAACACAATATATTTTATCAATAAATTCATTTTAATATTTTTTTAAATGAAAAGTAGGCACTAATTTGATTGATTAGAGCCTAGGCTCTCAACACCTTTATATTTTATCAATAAATTCATTTTAATATTTTTTTAAATGCACCTCCATTTAGATAACGGCATATACCAAATTTCAAAACGAGAGCTCACCGGTCCAAAAAATAAGTGAGAGACAGGGGTTGAGAGAGATTTAATGCGAAAATTGAGAGGTTTCGCAGAATTACGTATGCCAGTCTTGTACTTTTTTTTATTTTTTATTTGGGGACAAGTTTGATTAAACTTAGACTTGAAGAGAGAGAAATGGAGAAAGATGAGAGCGTCGACGTCGAGAGAGGGAGTGTCAACGTCCGCACATGCCTATGCCGTATATTCGCATCCACAAGAGAGTGATGGAACGAGGAAGGGGACGTGTAGAAATTTAACAATTATCTAAGGCATGGTTGTTTCGCTTGAAAATATATTTTGAAAATATTTTTATATAAAAGAATTATCATGTGGTTAAGTATGAGATTATTTTCGTATTAATTGATTGTGTGCATCTTTTCATGCCATTACACAACTAAATTGGTATGAAAGTATTCCTACAAGCTAATCATACGAAGGAATTTTTTTACGTGAAAATATTTTTATACGAACCACACGTGCCTATTTTAGTATTTTGTTCTTTTTCCACTATTCCAGTTGGTGACCATTCGTATTTCATTGGAACCATTGAAATTAAAATAAAAGAAAAAAGAAATGTTAAATAATTTTAACGGTAAGCGTGTCAATAATTTTCTAATGTATACTCAAACAGAATAGCATGCAAATAAAACAAATTATTACAAAAGAAATTTATCAAAATGGTATCTATGTTTTATCTATGAGATTATGTACTATAAGACCATTATTTTTGATACAAGGAGATCACAATCACTTTTCTCTATTAGACGTGAAATCCAATAGATGAAAGTAAGTTGGAACATTCGATAAATTTTATTTTGGATTTTGTGTCAAAAGAGCGATACATCCTAAACCAACCGATTTCAAATCCAATAGTCAATTATGTTTTGTGACCTCTTTGTATCAAAAGTAAATGGTCTTATTATATATATTTCTCTTATCTATTTTATATTTAATTTCAAAAGGGTGTGGCTTGTATAAGGCTGAGGCCCTACACCATCAAGGTAAGGCACACCTTTAAATAGTATCCACAGATAATTGTTTAGTAGCACAAATCTTAATTAATGATGACCTGAAAATTTATTTTTATATCTAATTATAAAATTTTAAGCTTCGAAAATAGTTTAGATCGATCAGAACTATAAGAACTCGAAAATATTGAAAATTAACGGCCTAGATGTGCATTACCAGATACACTATTTCCCAAACTTGAAATCCATATTTTTCATGTCTGTACATCTGAAAGTCGAGATGATCATTTTAAGGGCTTTTCGATATCAAAACAACCTCTTATAGTAAATTTTTGAAGTGCATCTTAATTTGATTGCTTAGAGCCTCAACCTTAAATAAAATTTTCCATTTCAAAAACCCATGAAACACACATGATCATGAATTAGAATATTTGAAAATTAGCAGTGTAATAAAAATTTAATAATCTAAATGCTTTTGAAAATTTTTCCTTATTATCAAAACATTCACAAAATAAATAAATAAAATACAAAACGGGCCAATTTTGGAAAAAAATTACTAGAAAGGTACCAGTTTTAAATTTTTTTTTTTTTTGTTTTTGGGCTGTGTCCTAGTTTATAGAACAGTTGGCGATTGATTCGAAGTCTCCATTCTCATACCACCTAGATTGTAGTATTACACCATGTTATAGGCGATCCAAGGATGAAGATCTCGACCTGCTTCAATCCAGGTAGGCGGTCCAAGGATGAAGATCTCGACCTGCTTCAATCCAGGTAGTGCGGTCCAAGGTCCCCATCCTCGGACCGCTCACAGTGTGGTGTTCGATCACATTATGAGCGAACCAAGGATGAAGACCTCGGACCGCCTATAATGTAGTGTAACACTACAATTTGGGCAGTCCAAAGATGTGGACCAATTACCTGGAATATGTTGTAACACCACAATCTAGGTGGTCTTAAGATGGGAATCTCGGACCGATCGCCAACTGTGCCAAAATATAGGACATGATTCAAACAATAATAAAAAAAAACTAAAATAAAACTGGTCCACGGAAACCATCCCGGACCGAGAGGCATTAGGAAGAAAATTAAAAAAACTTTACAATAAACTACGTTTCTGATAAATTTTTGTCAAAATTGACCTATTTTATATTTTATTTATTCATTTTTTGTCCGTACATAAATTGCTCTTGGAATTTTAACAACGCGACCTTTGACCTTTTAAGTTTTAACACCAAGTGGCAAATTTTCCTTGTACTCATTCAAAATATATACTAATTATTTATCGACAGATTCTTTATTTTTAAGTCACAATGTGGAGCTCTATCCTCCACGCCTAATTCTGCACCCGATCCAATATCTGGTGGTTTACTTTGGTGTTTGTAACTTGTAACCTAACTTCCCCAAGTAGGTTGCTTTGCCAATGCGCACTTTGTGCATGAGAGAGATCAACGCAATGTCAGGCACCTAAAGAGAGAGAGCCATTGACGCAATGTCAAGCACTTAGAGAGAGCGAGAGCGAGAGAGAGATTAATGCAATGTCAAGCACATGGGTTAAGTAAACTACAAAATAAAAAATAAATAAAAATAAATAAAAAAGGTGCTTTGATTGCTTAGTTAATTTATAAATACTTGAATAATGATTGTTCACTATGAAAGTAAATTATGATGAAGTGTAAATCACTACAAATTATCTTGAAATTATTAGCTATGGTTGCCTAGAGTAATTTTCAGAAAACTGCCCAACAGATTTGGAATTACAAATGAACTTTTGACAAAAATGGAAACTGAATCACTTGTATTTATATGGGCCAAA